ACATTACTAATGTATAAAATCACATGAACACTCTTTAGATATCAAAGTGTTATTTATTGCTGGCTTTTGAAACAGAAATAACATAGTAACCAACAATACAGCAAAAAATAATTATAGACAAACAAAAGTCCATCTCTCCCATTGGAATTTAAAAAAAAGGGGACCTCTGCTCTGTAAACATCCATGACAGTATTTCTCTTTTGACGACACTGCCTCGATTGTGCAAGTGACAGACCTCTCACGGCAGACGCGTCATCAGCTTATTGTTTTTTTTAGATTGGCCTTCATACAGACTGCCGATCAAACATCCCAAAGCGATTATCGGCTGATAGTGATCGGTAGCTGATCAATCGGAGCAGCCCTAATATATATATATATATGTATGCATACAGTATCTCACAGAAGTGAGTACTCCCCTCACATTTTTGTAAATATTTTATTATATCTTTTCATGTGACAACACTGATGTGAACAAACATTCAGGAGGACACAGAATTCTTAAGAACGCTGCCCGGTGACTTTTATTATTAAAATAGATTAAATAGCCTACTGGAGAGACGCACAGACGCAGGTAGGCTAATTCACACAGGCAACTGTCACCCCTCTCTCTCTCTCTCTCTCTCATAATTAATTCAAGTAGCTAAATGTTATAATTAATTCAAATAAATCTGATCTTACCGCACTATTTCATCTCTTTCTGATCTGAAACGGGCAGAATGCGGAGCTAACGATTCAGATTTCTTAGTATTTATTTATACTTGTAACTTATGAATAATTAATATGAATGTGTGTGTGTGTGTATTTTTATGCATATTCATTGCTATTATTAATATTATTACTACATAATTGATTATATAATTGTAAAAATTATTTATTAATTATTTGGTATTATGTATTTAATTATATGTTTGTGTTTATGTATTTATTAATTTATTTATGTTGAGGATAAAGGTAACACTGCAACATAAAGGAAATTTACCACTTTCTTCCATGAATCTTTTGATGTTTCTTAACATGTTTTTTTTTTTTTTATAAATCGTTTGGGGGTTATCACGATTTTGTCCATTGCGGAGCCAGTTCGCGTTCCATCTCCGTCTGTAGGCATTTTCTTTGAGACGAGATAATTGCCGCCTTTTTCGCCCTGCTACTTTTTCATATTCTTGTTCTTTTGTATATACAGTAATAATCTGACAAAAGGGCTGTTCACACTTACAGTGATCTCCTGCGACAAAGTTGATGAATTTCGGTCATGTGACAAAGTTGGGACTTCAAATGAGCTTCAAAAAGGATTTGTCTTTGGGCACATGCTGGAATATCATAGATTTTTTAAATGATTTTTGTGAAAACCAACAGTACAGTGACCCGTCAACCTCCAGACTCTTTATGAGAACATAAAGTAGAAAGAAGCAAGGTAGCACTTTCAAGCCCCCTGAGATACCTTCAACTTCCACGGGAGGAAGCGGAGGTGGCGGGTGAAGAGGTCACGTTGCTGGCGGGGTGACGGAGGTCGCTGTCACGCTCCTTAACGACACTTTACCAACCGAATGCGCCGGGGTCAGAGGCTGCCACAACGTTGGTTCCTTCTCCTCTTCCTGTCTCTCACTCGCCCCTTTTTTGTCTCCTTTATACAATCTTTTCTACTCCAGCGCTAATGAATTCAGTCATTATAACCAGCTCACCTCAAGCCGCTAACAAGCGGTTTGCGTGGAACACAGACTCATGCCTTCTACCTCAGTGGACAAAGCTGGAGAAAAATATGAAAGAGTCACAAATCAAAATAATGAGCGAGAGCCGCCCCTCCCCGACCTATCTGTCTATTTGTTTTTCTGTCACTTTGAAACCCCTCCCGTTTTCCTTCGTAAACAAAATTACACTGTTATGCGGAAATGTTTTGCTCTCAACAGAAATCGCAAACCATTTCGTAATCGCCTTCAGTTGATTTCTTCCTCTACTATTGCAATCCATTTGAACTATATTAACATTTCGAGACTCAAGAGGAAGCAACGAGATTGCGAAATCGCTCCCAGGACCCACAAGTGTGGCTTCTCATAATATAATTGTCAGTCTAATCGGCCTCGTCGTAAACAGAGGGTTGGCTTAATATTGTTCCCAATGGAAAACGAGCGAAATTACAGCGTTTAACGTGATTAAAGTCAACATAACGCCGCATTTCATGTCCGCCACATTCGATGTGCCTGCTAAGGGGAAGCAAGAATAGGACTGACACCGCCGGCTGCACTCGCTGCAGCTGTGTGATCCAAAAATACATCTAACGAAAGTCACAGGATGGCGACAGAGGCGCGCACGTCCTTCCCTATATCAGCGCGGGGCATGAACATTTCTTTAATAACCCCCTCTGCTGTGTCACAGCGCGTAGCGGGGGCCCGACACCCTCCCGCTCGTGAGGGTTTTTGCCTGTCTCGCTTCTCATTGATACACTTGTTTTCTTTTATTTTGCGACCCCCACCCCTCCAGTCGACTTCAGTGCAAGAAGCGATCGCGACTCATTGACCAGCCAACAGGAAACAACGAAAAGCTGAAGGCTTGGGCTGGGGGGATCGTGCCGTGCTGCCATGCACTGCTGCTGCCTGGCCTACAATGTTAACATCAGCTAGAAAATTCAGTGTGTTTGTTTTCTTCTGTTTATTAGGGGTGTTTGCTAAGACAAGCATCACTTTTGCTAATGCTCATATTTAAGGGATGTAAACAAACACATTGCCCTTAGTATTCAACTTCATATTGCACTGTTTGTGCTACAAGCCTTATGCATTATATATATATTTACAATATTTAATGAAATAACAATTTTATTTTATCTTATATATTCACAAATAATCCAGTTTTCTATTTTTTAGCATGTGATTAATATATATTTACAGTATTTAATTAAATAATTGTGTGTGTGTGTGTGTATGTATGTGTATATATATATATATATATATATATGTATATATATATATATATATATATACACA